TGGAATGTAATTCGTGAAATTCAGACCTAACCATATAATTCTATCACATAATAAGTCGCATGGAGGTTAATACACACATTTGCTATCTTATACACTAGTTAAAAGGTTAAGGCACAAATTGACTTATTTTGGTAACTTTTTTTTTTGCTTCTTTGTTCTCTACACTATACAACATTGAAATTTCCTTTGGTAATACTAAACAGTTGTTTAACTAGACCATTTTTTGAGGAAAATCCCAAGGGTTCATGTACAATATAATGGTATGAGAAAATATTATTTTGTACATCTACATACAAGTTTTAGGATCCTATTAATGATTATAACTTCTCCTAATTAACTATTGGGTAATCCTAGTTGTCTGGGATAGAATGTAAAACATGTAAAATACAAATAAACATGTAGTTCAGGCATGTTCCATTAACTTATAGTTACTATGACTTGTTTGAAAGTAAACATCTCACTTAATATCACCTTGTGGTCAAAATAGTAGAAACAGTGGAGGTTTTAATTAATTAATCCCAGCCAATGACAATCTCCCACATTGATAAATAAATAAATTGGATAAAGAAGGGAAAGAATGTGACACAAATACACAGTCTTAGGTGCAATGAAGAAATACCAATTGTCACTATGGACTCTAAGATTATTGCGCATAAACTTAACACTGAAAAATAATTATATAAAGTTAAATATATATTTCATTTAGGTGGTTTTCTCTTTCTTTTTTTCTTTTGAGATAATCTTGCTCTGTTGACCCAGGAAGAGTGCAGTGGCATCATCATAGCTCACAGCAACTTCAAACTCCTGGGCTCAAGGGATCCTCCTGCCTCAGCCTCCCGAGTACCTGGAACTACAGGTGCACTCCATGGCGCTCAGCTAATTTTTCTATATTTTTAGTAGAGACAGGGTCTTGCTCTTGCTTAGGCTGCTCTTGAATTCCTGGGCTCAAGCAATCCTCCCACCTCGGCCTCCCAGAGTGCTAGGATTACAGGCGTGAGCCACCGCGCCCGGCCTGGACTACTTCTTGCAAGGAAAAATATTCAACTCTCAACAAGCTGTGGAAAACACCTTTTGTGATTTCATTGTCACTCCCTCTTCAGGATTCTTCGCTGCCGGCATAAACAAGCTACCATCAAGATGGCAAAACTGTGTCGATAGTTTAGGCACATACTTTGATTAATTTTACTGCTTCTTGTTTGAGATATAATCAACTACACTTTTGATTCGAAATCGGATGTTTCATATTTAATGACCTCATAATTTATGTTATGATTGGCAGAAAACCAGAAGTGTTGTGTCCTTTCACTATACTCAAGTATGGACAGGTAGTTCTCAAAATGTGGCCCAGGGACTAGCACCATCAGCGCTACCTGGGAACCTGCTAGAAAGGCAAATTCTCTGTCATAGAATCTTTGGGGGTGGGGCCCAGAAATCTTTGTTTTAACAAGTATTCCAGGTAACTCTGATGCACACTAAAGTTTAAAAGCCACTGCTTTATATAATATAAAAGGAGACTATTACGTTTTATTAGACTTCGAAACCATTTAAAAAGCTTCTGCAATATAAGGAGGTAACATTACAAAGTATGTAATATTATGTCAGTCTCTAAAATATGATTGAGACATATCATATGCAAATAATAATAAATGGAAACATGCATATGCATAGTAAACTAAATGCTACTGAGATTCAGTGGCACAATGAAGACTGGAATCCAGATCTTCTCCCTGTCAATTGAGCCTAAATATCCTGGCTGTGAGACAGGGGCTTTATTGACTACTTACTATGCAGCTGTACATATTCCAGGCAGTGTTTCCAAACGTGTACCTGTTCACTACCTTCTGTGTGCAACTACTGGCTTCTCTCATGACAGCCCAAGGACTTCCTTTTGACAGCATCACAACTCTTACAAAAGTTTTCGGGCTGCTTGGAGAAGTTAAAGGTAGCTGTTTCACTTGATTGTGCAGAAAGAAAAAAAATACAGAGGAAAAAATGTATTCCCAGAGTTTGGAACGGGGGAGATTTATGAGCACAGAGGAAATAGAGTGTGAATGTGTATGGGGGCAGGAGAGATGAGGGTGTTGATGAAGATGATGCGGACGTGGGTGCTGATGGGGTGAAATGTCATATGTCTTAGCTTTAAGCACTAAGAACTATTACATGCACATGCTAAAAGATGATTACTCAAAGCATTTATTAAAGCAAGAGACCCACTGGAACTCTTAATATTCTCCTCCATTCAAGGCAGCACAGATGTCTGAAAGCCAAAAAGTGCAAGGCCCCAAGGACATAATAGAGGTTGACAGTTCCAAAGTTGATATAAATGTCATTCAAAATTGCCTTTTCCTTCTCTTCTATTGTGTGACCAGGCTAATTGTATATTAATAAGGACTCAAATGCTTGATCCTTATACTGGTAACTATATAAATAATTTTGACCCATTATATGATATTATTTCTCAATTTGGCTCTTTTAATAATTTACTACTGAGCTACTATACCAAATGCCTATTATTCATGAAGACTACATTACAGTAGTTTCCCATTTTCTATTAATTATTTTTCATTTGACTAGATGAAAATTTAAAAACCTTAACTATAAAATAGATGTAGAGTATTTATTTATGGCATGCATTCTTATAATTATGAATATGAACAATAAATGCTGAAGGTAAGACTTTTTCTCTTTGTTTTTTACTTATAATATCTATTTAGGAGAAATTTGAAAGCTTAGCATGATTAACCCCCATTATTACAAATAAAAATACATTTTCAAATTGTAAATAATTTACAAATGAAAAAGTAATTTTCAAGATTAAGAAAGCACTGGAAAATAAGCCATTTCTATCAAATACACTATCAAGCAGTGAACAAAGTATTTTCCTTTTAATTACTTGCCCAATTTTGAACAAGGTTGCCAACTGAAACTTCTGAAAATAGCATATTTCATAATTATTTCATTTATACACAAAGTGATAGTTAAGAAGAATTTGTGTATCTGTTGAATAGCTCGAAACTTGTATAATGATAAATATAAACTAAGTGTTTA